TGTACTAGTTAAGAAATCATAATTGAATAGTACTTTTAGGATTTTATTTTGTTTTATTTGAATTTCTTTAAATGTGGTATCGTACAAACTCCCCAAACAGGAATTAGGTATCTTAAGTGTGCCAAGAAGTAAGCGTTGTAAACATTTAGTTTAGTTTTGTGAGTGAGATAATGTCGACATTTATAAATAACAGGTATCATTGAATTCAATTTCATCATTAAATGATCGACATGATTTTTCCAATTCAGAGATTCATCCACAAACATCCCTAGGTATTTAATAGATGTCACTCTTTCTAATTGCATGGTGCTAATTTTAATATTTATATTGTTCGATATTTTATTTTTTTGTGTAAAAATTATAAATTTTGTTTTTTCAACATTTATTTTCAACTTGTTGGCATACAACCACATAAGGTACCTATCGAGATCTCTGTTTATTTCCTCCTCCAGATGCTCTTCATTCAAGCCTGTATAAATTAGAGCAGTAGTGTCATCTGCAAAAGTAAAATATCTTGCTTGCAGATTCATGAGTTTCAGATTTAGGACATATAAAGTATATAGCAGTGGCCCCAGCACTGACCCCTGGGGTACACCATAATTATTTGATAGAATATCGCTGTCGCAATCCTTGATTTTTACAAACTGTTTCCTATCCACTAAATATGTTTTTATAAGGTTTAAAAAATTTCCCTGAATACCCAATTTGTTTAATTTACCTAAAAGCACATCAATTGATACTACATCAAATGCTTTTTTGAGATCTATAAACACTGCTACGACTATACTTTTTTGATCCAAATTCTTTGAGACATAGTTAACAAAATCGAACGCAGCTGAAAGTGTGTTACTTTTCTTTATGAAACCATACTGGAATGGGTCTACCAACAAATTTTCACACATAAACTCAACCATTCTTTTTTTAACCATCTTCTCAATAATTTTTGAGAATATACTAAGCACTGATATTGGTCTATAATTGTTCATCTGATCGGCTGCCCCAGATTTAAAGATCGGAGTGATTCTACTAATCTTTAACTCAGATGGAAAAATACCCGTCAAAAATACATTATTTATTAACTCAGTCAGAATAATGAAGATATCGTTTTTTAAATTATTTAAATCCATTGTTGTTATGCCATCATATCCTGGAGCAGAATTTTTTTTAAGTTCGAGTATGGTTTCATTTACTTCATTAACATTTGTCAATCTTACTTCCATAATAGCGACATTATCAACTACAACATCCCTAAGTACAACACGTCCATTGTCTGCATCAATTTCCTCATTCAATGAACTAACTATATTTTCTCCTACATTGGCAAAATGATAATTTAAAGTGTCTACAATTTTTTTGTTTTGTTTTATCACTTGCCCATCTACAAGTAGGTACTCAATGCAATTATTTGCAGATGGTTTATTAAAAAAACTGTGAATAAATCGCCATTGCTTTTTTGTATCACTACCTGTTTTGTTCCATTCAGAACTAATCGTGTTCTATTCGGAGTAAAAGTTACTTTTGATCCTAACCACCGATTTCGACATAATTTTGGGATCTGTGTGTACATTAAAAATGACCTTTCATGTCATCGAGAGGAGAAGCTAGAACCAGCGAACCTTGATATCATATGGCTAAAATTCACCTCAAAGTCATCGACCAAGTTTATCTGCTGCCTCTACCGACCGCCAAGTAACACCGATTACCAAAACTTTTTCGCGACATTATCCGAAAGCTGTGATAGCATACAGTCAAACTATCCACAGGCGGAAATTGTCTTTTTAGGCGATTTCAACGTCCACAATATACCCTGGCTGAAACACCACAACAAAACAGATAACGAAGGCAGAGAAGCAGAAGCTTTTGCCATAAGTTGTGGTCTAACGCAGCTTGTCGATGAACCTACCCGTATCTCAGAAAGGGGCGAATTTGCAGCGCTTTTAGACTTGTTCCTAACCACCAATCCTGACTCGTACACAATTCAAGTAGATGCTCCACTTGGTTCGTCCGATCATAAACTTATAATAACAAAGTGCGAAATGCTCATCCCACCAAGCCTACAACCACTTCCTCGTAAAATGTGGCACTATAAATCGGCAAAATGGAATGACTTAAAACAGTATTACCTGGATTTTCCATGGCAAGAGGTTTGCTTTAAAACAGCTGATCCCACTATTTGCTGTAATGAAATAACACAAGTAATCTTATCTGGAATGGACGCATATATCCCACATACAACTAAACGTAGAGCTAATGCAAAACCTTGGTTCAACAGCCAGTGTCAAACGGCTGTACAGAAAAAACACAGAGCATATAACCTTTGGAAACGACAACAAACCGCTCAAAACCACACAGAATTTATAGAAGCCAGAAATAGTTGCAAAATTACTATTGACTTCGCTAAAGAAACATACAATCAAAGAATAAAAAACAGGTTGCTGAATTGTCCAAGTAGTTCTAGGTCTTTTTGGTCTCTTGCAAAAGCTGTTGGATCTAACTTCACCAAGTCATCCATACCACCACTTACAGATAAAAATAATCACTTAGCCACAACATCAGAGGAAAAAGCCAATATGCTTGCCCAAATGTTTTCCTCCAACTCCAACCTAACAGTGCCAAACGGAAAAACTCCACCGTTCATTGAAAGGGTTTCCCATAGTATGCCAGAGGTACCCTTTTGTCACAGAGAAATACGAAAATCCCTAAAAAAGCTGGATACAAACAAAGCAATGGGTCCGGATGGCATTCCCGCAATAGTACTCAAAAATTGCGCCAACGAACTCACCCCAACTTTCGCAAAATTATTCAATTTGTCTTACAGGCAAGGAGTATATCCATCATCATGGAAGTCTGCCGCAGTACAACCCATTCCAAAGAAAGGAAAAAAGACAGATCCGTTAAACTATAGACCAATTGCTCTACTTCCGGTGATATCAAAAGTAATGGAAAGAGTTGTGAACAATCACCTAACCAAGTACTTGGAAAAGTACAAAATTATCAACGATAAGCAATACGGATTTCGAAAATATAGGTCAACTGGAGATTTACTTACATTCGTCACTCACTTATGGCAAAAAGCGATTGAGTTGCGGGGTGAAACAAGAACAATTGCCTTAGATATATCTAAAGCATTCGACAAAGTTTGGCATGAAAATCTGCTCAACAAGCTCAAAGCAATGGGATTATCGCCGAAACTTTGCACTTGGTTTGAAAGTTACCTAAAGGACAGATCCATTTATGTTGCACTGGATGGCCAGAACTCCAACTCTTACCAAATAAATGCTGGTGTGCCACAGGGAGCAATCCTTTCGCCAACTCTTTTCCTGATTTACATAAATGACCTCATAGATAAAACAGTAAATCCACTTTATTGCTTTGCAGACGATGGCAATGTAGTCTCCTCACTCATACCACCCACAGGTCTTTCCGCACGTGAATTCCATCATCTTAGACTAACTCAAATATCGCAGATAAATAACGACCTGGAGATAATAGAGGACTGGGGTAACAAAAACCTTGTACAGTTCAACGCGCAGAAAACCCAAGCAGCTCTGTTTTCAAAAAAGACCAGCACCGGTGAGCCAAACATCATGCTATCTGGAAGTGCTGTCACATTACAGAGTCAGTTGAAAATCTTGGGGGTTACTGCAGAGACCAACATGTCTTGGCACAGTCACGTGGCAGATATTGCTAAAAGGGCCTCCCAAAAGCTGGGGGTGCTATTTCGTACAAGACATCTGTACACACCAAGCCAATTGCTGACACTCTACAAAGCCCAGATTCGACCAACTATGGAGTACTGCTCACATATATGGAGTGCAGCACCCAAACATACCTTAATGCTTTTGAATACCGTGCAAAAACGAGCTATCAAGCTGATCAATGACCCCGCACTTACTCGTAACTTGGATGGTCTCGAACATCGCAGATCTGTGGGCGATTTATCTCTCTTCTACAGGTACTATCACGGAAAATGCTCTGAAGAGTTGGCACGTATGATTCCACCGAGAATAGCACCTACCAGGCGAACCCGTCAAACAGACGGTAACCATGAATTTACTGTCAAACTAGAGGCACCAAGAACCTCATTATATCAGAATTCATATCTCTGGAGAACAACATCGCTGTGGAATAAACTCCCTGCGACGGTTTTCCCTTCAGGTTACGACCTGAACCGTTTCAAGACCAACATACACCGACATTTCCGCGCACTTGCCGCTTCTCGAGCGTGATAGGACATTTCCTTGCAAGTGCGCATATCCGTAAAAAAAAAAAAAAAAAAAAAAAAAAAAAAAAAAAAAAAAAAAAAAAAAAAATAAAACAATATACTATTTTGGGCGTGGCACCCAAAAAGATTTTCGTTTAATCCTGGCGTCCCTTTTAAGTTTGTCCCCTCCGCCCTCAAATCCTAAGTACACGTACGCCACTGTCCGTGTCCTGTATCTTTTTGGCCTCCTAGTTTTTTAAGGCACGCGCCGCCTCTGCCAACATGAGGGCGGCCTTTCTAAACAGGCGTAGGGCGGCAAATTTGTAAATCCGGCACTGAATATCGATAGTTTTCGTTAGTGATTATTATATAAATACAAGTTATAAGGAAAAAGGAAAGATATCTGTGTACTAAAAATCTTTCATTCTAGGAAATAGCTAAATATTGAACTTTAACATCAACATCTGGAGTGGAATTCTGTAAGAAATTTCGGAAAGAGAGAGGAAGAAAGCACAGCAAGTGCCATAGCGATTAGCGATAGCGATAGGGATAACGATCTCTATCTGTTACAGAATCCCCCGCCTCCGATCTCTCTGATGGAGAAAATATTTTTTTCTAAAACTAAAAATATGTTATTCTAAAATCCTTGAACTTGTTTATAAAGTCATTATCATTTCAACATTTTTGGCTTTCCGATATAGTTCGATAGTCAATACTATCGATAGTTATCGATACCGCCATCGATAATTTTCCACCTCTTTATGAATTATGGCTATCAGTTTTTCTAACCTCAAAAGATTGTTGTTACTTTTTCGTTTTTATTTTGATTTATTTTTGAATTTTAAATAATTTGTGTTCATTTTAATAGGTTGATCAGTTAGAGCTGATAGTGATTTGTGAGTTTGATATACTTATTTAAACATTTTAATATTACAAACAGGCAAGTACACAATACATTATAATCTTTTATTATAAAATTTAAAAAAACTACTTATAGGTAGTTCAAATTTGAAAAATAGAAATACTAAAAAAAATTTGAAAAATTTGTATAGTCAATTCATAGTTGTGCCAAAGTTTTGTGAAATAATATAAAAAAGAGAAGAAAAACAATTCCAAATTCTAAATACCACATAAAAACATGGATGCACTTATCTAATTTTTAAGAGGAAAATTAATAACAAAATATGTACTTAATTCAAATATTCCGAGAAATATTCTTAAGATTTTTTAACTACCTCGCACCTAAAATTTTTAACATGATTCCACCTGAGATAGATCGATTTGGTTCTCGGGGGCACCCTCTATATGCACCAAAATCAATCAAACTTTAAATTTCATGACAGTTTTTAAAGGGGTTTCTGCTGCCATAATAGTATATTACATACCGAGGTGGGAAGTGTTTCATCACTGTCCAGAGCTCGGTCGAGAGATTAGTTAGTTAATTGAGACGCGAAGCTTCGAAGTTAACTATAATCTCGAGACAGAAATGAAACCTCCTACCGAGGTTTGTATACTATTTTATTTACAACAATTGTGATTCTCTTTTAGATTTAAATATGCATCACATCAGCTATGAATGTGTACTATCTATTTCCTATAATTCTAAGGATGAGATTCTTGCATATGATGAATTTTACTATGACTTTCGTAATGGTAACTATAGAGAACTTAATAATTATCTGGCTTCTATAAATTGGGTAACATTACTGGGTAATAATGATGTTAATGAGATTACTAATCTATTTTACGAAATTTTGTCTACTGGTATTGCCTTTTTTATACCACTAAAAAAGTATAAAACATTATTAGGTCTTTATTTAGCATGTACGGCTAATTTACAAAACATAGAGTACATAATATAATATTCATATACAACTATAAATTGCACAGTGTATGTATACATAAAGCACACAATACAATACATGTCATCATACATTGTTGTCTAATAAAATTTGATAAAATAAAATAAAAATAAGAAATTAAATTAAGATTATTTTAGGCACAGCTATAGAAAGTAAACATAGATTTCAATAATAGTACATAGTACATTGTCACACTGAACACAAGCTACAAACAGGGTATATGTACACATTCAGACATAAAGCACTCAACGATTCCTTTCTATGTATCTCCAACAGCCACACATCAAGCTATTGGCCATTGTCAATTAATAATTTTTTCAGTTTCGATTTAAATATATTAAGCGTTGAGCTGCTTTTTACATCATTTGGTAGTTTGTTATAATTAATTAGGCCATTATGGAATAATGCCCTTTCAGTGCTCTTTTTATTCTTGGTTGCTACATGCAAATCATTCTGAGATCTTGTATTGTGATCGTGAACGTTACGGTTGTACAGCAGTTTCGATGACAAGTACATTGGCATTACAGAACTCTTTATTCTATAAATGAATGTCATGGCTTGATAATTTAAAAAATTCTCGATGGATAACCAATGGATAAACTCAATCAAGACAATAACTTTCTCACTAAAGAATTGGAGAGTCTAAAGCTAGTTTTCTCAGAATCATACCCTTCTGATGGAAGATCTGTCATCGGGGCTGCTTCGGGGAACACCTTATCCAGCGAACTTTCTGCAGCCAATTCTATGACACAAAAAGCGCAGAAATTGGACCTAGAGGACACTGAGGCCAAGATCGCTGAATTAAGGTTCTCTAGACATGCCTTGGAGGTCCAGTCTCAGTTAAACAAAAGCGAGCTACTTAAATCAGCTGAAGAAATATCTGAGCTTCAAACTATAAACTCTCAAATGCGCACTACAATTGAAACTCTCAATCATGACAATAACTTTCTCACTAAAGAATTAGAGAGTCTAAAGCTAGTTTTCTCAGAATCATACCCTTCTGATGGAAGATCTGTCATCGGGGCTGCTTCGGGTAACACCTTATCCAGCGAACTTTCTGCAGCCAATTCTATGACACAAAAAGCGCAGAAATTGGACCATGGTCAAACCGACATTAGAAAGATCAAGGTTCTTGTACTTGGTGACATTAGTTCAAGGGGTGTAGCCACAGGGCTGCTCAATCAATTGAACAGGGAGGAGTATTGTGTTTATGGAGAAAGTCATCCTGGATTCACCTTATTGCAGATTGCAAATAGAGCTTTTGAGCTTACAACTGATTTTAATTATTTCGACAGCGTTGTCATCTGTCTTAATTTAAGTTTTATTAGTAATATAGGCAATTATTATTTGAGGTCATTATTTTCAATAGGAAGGTATACAAATCTGATTTTTTCATTGACATATTCCTTAACAAATAAAATTTATGAGTATCAAAGGTATGTGTCTTTTTGCAACAATGCTCTTGATTGTAGAAATACCTCGGTTCGTATTTTAGATAACACTATTGTATATGGTAAATTTAGAATATCAAAGGATTCCCTATGTAAAACTTTGGCGCTATACATCGGAGCGAGTTGCAAAATGAGACATATTTTTTCCTTATCATGCATTAAGTATGCTGACTCAGCTAATTTTAATGATTTTAATAATTTAAGTGACACGTCTGATTTGACTTTTTTAGAATAAGTTCTGACAATTGCATAAGTATGTTGTTGTTAAACATTCAGTCAGTGCGTAATAAGATTGATCAACTAATGGTTTTCTTGGACAGTATAAATTTTCCTAATATTTTACTACTCACTGAGCATTGGCTTAATGTAGACGAGCCGCTGGTTGTACCAGGGTATATTGCTGTTTCAAAGTATTGTCGAACCATAAGCCAACATGGAGGTACTGCCGTCCTAATCAACCAAAATGCTTATGATATATTGGACTTTAAATCATGTAATCATCTTGATCAACTTTTGCAAGAAAAACAATTCGAATTCTCAGTAATTTTCTCGAAAAAACTAAACCTGTGTGTGGTATGCATTTACAGATCACCTAATTCAGATATATTCGGTTTCCTAAATAAACTAGAACAACTGCTTGTTAAACTTCCATCCAAGTGCCATGTAGTACTGGCTGGTGATATAAATGTTGATTACAGTGATGCTGACTCTAATGTAGCTGCTTCTGTCTCTAACCTCTTAACCTCATTTAACCTCACCATGCACGTTCACTCATTTACTCGAATAACTGAATATTCTGCCACTACAATTGACTATTTTTGCTCAAATATACAGGGTGACGTAGCGTGTGAGTCCCTTGATGCAGCCATTTCTGACCATAATGCTATTGTAGCGAAACTTCCTCTATTTTTTACTTCAAAGAAGGCTAAACACAGGGTTCGAAAACGCATTTTTAGTCGTCATAACTACCAAATGTTTCATCTAGAATGTGACAGGCAAAATTGGAACTTCCTAGAATATGAAAATGATCCTCTAACAGCTTTTCATTCAGTTGTTTGCACTTTAATAAACAAATGTTTTCCTCTCAGAAACGTAAAAATAAGAACTAACTCAAAGTCTTGGTTAACTAAAGGAATTAGAACTTCTGCTGCAAATCTACGTTGCCTTAACTCCTTGCGCAAACACTTTTCTGATAACCACTTCATAAAAAAACCACTACTATCGATATCGCAAAATATACAGAAAACTTATAGAAAAGGCAAAGCAGAATTTTTACTCTTTAAGACTTCAAACATCCACGAATGTGTCTCGAACAGCATGGAATATTGTTAATGAAATAACAGGACGCACAGAAACCATCTCTCGAGACATTCCTTTGGACCCAAACGATCTTAACAATTTCTATTGCTCAATAGCTGAAAATCTTACTAAAAATCTACAAAGTAATAAAGATCCACTTGAATACCGAGTTGTAAGAGTTCCAAATGTATTCTCTTTTCTTCCAACTAATCGAGATGAAATAAGGCAGACCCTTAACACAATGAAGAATCTAAATGCAACTGGATATGATGGTATCTCCCTTAAAATCCTAAGGGAACTCTCCCTCAGCTCCATTGCTGCTCTGGCTGATGCCATAAATTCATCTTTTAGAAGTGGACATTTTCCTGCATGTTTGAAGCCTGCCACTGTCAAACCCATACATAAGGGGGGGGATACAACATCTCTCTCGAACTATAGACCAATTTCCCTGCTCTCCACTCTCTCAAAAGTCATAGAAACTCTGGTCAGCAAACGTATAGTAGACTTTTTCAATGAAAACAACCTCTTAAATAAAAGTCAATTTGGTTTTCAACATCAAAAAAGCACAGCTGATGCTGTCTTGTATTTTATGGAGGGCCTCTTGGGTTCGTTGAATGAACAAAGGTCATCTGCGGCAGTTTTCTGTGATTTGTCAAAAGCCTTTGACTGCGTTAATCACGGATTGCTGCTGCGGAAGCTTAACATATACGGATTTCAGGGGAGCGAGCTCGGGTGCATGCGGTCATACTTAACGGGACGCACGCAGTGGGTCTCTTCAAATGGCACTACTTCAGAAGAAAAACTCATCCAGAATGGTGTACCTCAAGGCTCTGTCCTGGGACCCATTCTCTTCCTCATTTATATAAATGACCTCTTGAGCCTTGACCTCTCGGGTGATATTGGGGCTTTTGCCGATGATTGTACTGCTTGTTGGTCGCATAAGGATCCAATTATCCTTCATAACATGATAGCAACTGATATAAAGAAGATCAAGACCTGGTGTGATGCTAATCACCTATCCCTCAACCTTTCAAAAACACATATGATGACTTTCAGAAACTGTACTCTTAATAACATATCTATTGAAGACCATATTCTTGACATCGTAGACTCATCCAAGTTTCTAGGGTTGAATATAGATTATAGGCTTAAATTTGACGCCCACATAAAATCATTAAATAAAAAAATATCCTCAGGTTGTTACTGTGTTAGGGTCACTGCTCGGGAACTTGGTAAATCTGTAGCGAGAACCACCTACTTTGCTTTGGTTGAATCACACCTAAGGTACTGCATTGCGTTTTGGGGTTTTTGTAGTCAGTATTTATTTA